AGTCTATTGCTGTCTGTCTGGAATACATTCAAGACTGAGTCTTCATAGTACTCTAGGGCAGGGAATTCCAAGGAATTTGAATGAGATCATATTTTCTAAACTCCAGGGACTAAAGGCTTAGTCTATTTAATGTTACCTCAGATTGCAGTCCCACCATCCCAGGAATTACTTTAGTGAACCTTTGATGCACTCTCACTAGCAAACATCTTTCCTTGGGTAAGGAGACTAAAACTGCATACCATGCTCCCAAGTGTGATCTCACTAAGGCTCTATGTATTCGCAAAATGACATATTTACTCCTATGCTCAAATCCCTCTGTAATAAAGGACAGTGTAGCAAGATTTAGATGATTATTGATAGATGTCAGTAGCAACAAGCCAGTGTTATAATTATTTGCAGCAATGCCAACCTAACCTTCAATGTTTTTTGAGAGAAACTTCAAATCACATATTACATAAAATGTTTGAATTTCTTGTGGAACAAAGGGTGTTCAAAGAGCTTCTTGTAACCAAGAATCTACAAGATTATCTTGTTTCTAAAAACATACGTTACAAGAAAATATAATTGTTTCATTTGCAGCAGTGCTGGGAGATCACAGTTTAATAAATTTGTTCTTCCGTTGTCCAATGTGAAAAGATATACTTCTCTCAATGGCACTCCCCTGCTCCCCTTGACAACACCCTAGCCCTGTCCCCAATCTTGCAGGAGTGTGGTCTGCAACTTGGAGCTATACCACAGTTTTCTTAACAGCAATAAAGCAGAACAGATATCTAGAAATGACAGATTCCTGGTTGAGCTGTTGTTTTAAAATTGGCACAGACTTTTGTATCACAGTTTATGGCGTAATCTCAATTGCTTGCTGAGATTGCAGCCCATAATAACTCTCTTGTTCATTCTCTCGAGTAGTCAAAGCACTGCACTTGTTAAAAATTAATGTTTTATGCTTCAGGCAAGTAGTGGTGTGATTTCCAGGAGTTTAGATGAAAGCAGTGCAGGCTTATTTTTTTTCTGTTCCCAAAAGCTTGATTCCTACTTTTGCTTTTGATTTCATTAGTACCAGGCGCCCTCTGGTGTCTTTCTGTATCGAAATGTGTCTATTACCAATGTATTCATAGAGCCCATGCCCTTCAGCCCACTGAATCTGCACTGACCTATCTATACTCATCCCACTTTCCAGCACTTGGCCCAGAACCTTGAATGTAATGACATTGCAAGTGATCATCTGTGTACTTTTTAAAAGTTGCATTGTTTCCCATCTAAAGTACTTGCCCAGGCAGTGTATTCCAGATTCTGTCTACCCTCTGGGTGAAAATAAATGTTTCCTCAAATCCCGTCTAAACTTCCTGCCTTTCACCTTAAAATTATAAGACATAGTAGGATTAAGCTATTCAGCACATCAGGTCTGCTCTGCCATCCGATCATGGCTAATGTGTTTCTCAGCCTCATTCTCCTGCCTTCTCCCTGTTACTCTCGATCCCTTTACTAATCAAGACTAATCTGTCTCTGTCTTAAAATTACTCAATGACTTGCCCACCACAGCCCTCTGCGGCAATGCATTCCACCCTCTGGCTGAAGAATTTTTTTTTCCTTTATTCATTCATGGGATGAGGGCATCGCTGGCTAGGCAGCATTTATTGCCCATCTCTAATTGCCCACAGGGCAGTTAAGAATCAACCACGTTGCTGAGAGTCTGGAGTCACATGTAGACCAGACCAGGTAAGGATGGCAGTTTCCTTCCCTAAAGGACATTAGTGAACCAGGTGGGTTTTTTTCAACAATTGGATTCTTAATTCCGAATATTTTATTGAATTCAAATTCCACCATCTGCCATGGTGGGATTTGAACCCGGGTCCCCAGAACACTATCTGGGTCTCTGGATTAATAGTCCAGTGATAATACCACTAGGCCATCACCTCCCTGTAAATTCCTCCTCATCTCAGTTCTGAATGGTGGCCTCTTTACTCTGAGGCTGTGCCCTTGGGCCCTAATCTTTCCCACCAGTGGTAACCTCTTCCCCATGTCCACTGTATCCAGGCCTCCCGGTATTCTAAGTTTCAGTCAGATCCCCCTCATCTTTCTAAACTCCATCGAGTACAGACCCAGAATCCTCAGTCTTTCCTCATATGAAAGCTGTTCATCCCGGGGGTCATTCTTGTAAACTTCCTCCAGCACGTACTTGCTTAGTTACAGCACCCAAACCTGCTGTCAGTATTCCAAATATAGTCTGACCAGAGCCTTGCACAGCAGTACATCTCTGGTTCTTCAGATGAATGCTAACATTGAATTTGCCTTCCTAACTATCAACTGAACCTGCATGTTAACCTTACAGAATCCTGAACTAGGTCTCCCAAGTCCCTTTGTGTTTCAGATTTCTAAAGTCTTTCCCTGTTTAGAAATTAGTCTACATTTCTATTCTTCGTACCAAAGTACATAACTTCAAGCTTTCCCACATTGTATTCTGCCACTTCTGTGCCCACTCTCCGAGACTGTCCAAGTCCTTCTGCAGTCTCTTTGCTTCCTAAACACTACCTGTCCCTCCAACTATCTTTGTGTCATCTGCAAACTTAGCAATAATACCCTCGGTTCCTTTGTCCAAATTGTTAATGTATACTGGCTAAGTCTGTGGCACTGGGGACGCGATGGAATAGTGGTTTTATCGCTGGCCTGTTAATCAAGAGACCCAGATAACATTCTGGGGACACTGGTTCGAATCCGATGGCGGAGATGGGATCCGATGGCAGATAGTGGAATTTGAATACAATAAATATCTAGAATTAAGACTCTTTACCAGGATGCTGCCTGGACTGGAGGGTAGGTCTTATGACGAAAGGTTGAGGGAGCTAGGGCTTTTCTCATTAGAACAAAGAAGGATGAGAGGTGACTTGATAGAGGTGTACAAGATGATGAGAGGCATAGATAGAGTGGATAGCCAGAGACTTTTTCCCAGGGCGGAAATGACTATTACAAGGGGGTATAATTTTAAGGTGATTGGAGGAAGGTATAGGGGAGATGTCAAAGGTAGGTTTTTTACACAGAGAGTGGTGGGCGTGTGGAATGCGCTGCTTGCGGTGGTAGTAGAGTCAGATACATTAGGGATATTTAAGCAACTCTTGGATAGGCACATGGATGATTGTAAAATGTAGGGTATGCAGGGTAGATTGATCTTAGAGGAGGATAATAGGTCGGCACAACATTGTGGGCCGAAGGGCCTGTACTGTGCTGTACTGTTCTACGTTCTTAACATGAATAGTTGTCCCAACACTGACCCCTGCAAACCTCCACTAGTCACCAGCTGCCATCCTGAATTAATCTTTTATCCCTACTCTCTGCCTTCTGCCATTCTATCAATCCTCTATCCATGCCAGTACCTTCCCCCAACACCATGGGCTCTTATCTTACTTAGCTGCCTCCTCTGTGTGGCACCTTGTCAAAGGCCTTCTGAAAATCCAAATAGATCGTGTCCACCAGCTCTCCTTTTTCTAACTTGCTCATTATCATCTCAAAGAATTCTAACAGATTTGTCAGACATGACCTCCCCTTGATAAAGCTGTGCTGATTTAGCCCTATTTTATCATGCACTTTCAACTGCTCCACAATCTCATTCTTAATAGCGGACTCTAAAATCTTACCAGTGAATAATTTCCTGTCTTCTCCCTCCCTCCCTTCTTAACCAGTGGTGTGACATTAGCCATTTTCCAGTCCCCTGGCATCCTCCCTAACTCCAGTGATTCCTGGACAACAAGGTGCAGAGCTGGATAAACACAGCAGGCCAAGCAGCATCATAGGAGAAGAAAGGCTGACGTTTCGGGCCTAGACCCTTCATCAGAAATGGGGTAGGGGAAGGGGGTTCTGAAATAAATAGGGAGAGAGTGGGAGGTGGATAGAAGATGGATAGAGGAGAGGATAGGTGGAGACAAAACAAACAGGTCAAAGAGGCGGGGATGGAGCCTATCCCTGATTCATGTGCAGTTCCTACTACCCAGTGATTCCTGATTTGCTTCCACTGTGAAATTTGATGCAAGGTACGTATTCAGTTCCTCCACCATTTCTCTTTTCCCTATTCCCACTTCTCCAGCCTTATTTTCCAGTGGTCTGATATCCATTCTTGCCTCTCTCTCAACTTTTACATATCTTAAAAAAGACTCTTGCAGTGTTCTTTTATATTACTAGCTCCTTATTCTCATTTAACTCCTAGCTGTGATCCCCTTGCAGCCACGCCTCTGTGATACCCACACATTGTACCTGCCAATTTCAATTACTTTGTTTTGTATACTGCATGCATTTAAGTACAACACCCTCAGTCCTGTGTTGACTGCCCCGCCCCGCCCCTCTCCCCCACCCCCCCCCCCCCCCGCACCGCCCACACCGCCCACACCGCCCCTGTCATAGTTGTCCCCTTATCTGCTGTGCCTGAAGTTTAAGATTGCTAACGCTTCCTGTACTTTCTGTCCTATTGCTTGTTCTGGAAACTTTAATAACCTCTGCTAAGCAATTCCCGCCTTTACCTTTTTCCATAATTTTCCATGCAACTGAATCCACCTTCCCACCCTCAATAATTTAGATAAATACAAGATATTGCATTTTGGTAAAACAAACAAGGGCACCACTTGTATAGTTAATCCTCAGCCCACTATCCCAATTGATCAAGATCCCTTTGTAATCTTATAAAACCTTCACTGTTGAATATACCACCAGTTTTGGTGTCATCACCAAACCCTGGGCTACAAGTAATATCTGCATCTGAATGGTGTTGCTGAACCCATTTTTAAGCAGTAGTTAAATGATAATTTAGACTCAAATGAAAAACTCCATTGATGTTGTACACACTGTCAGATGTGCTAGAGGATGTGTCTTTAACATGTATGGAGGAGGGGAACTCAAAGATTGTCGTTAATATTACTGGTTATTGGCCAATGATGCAGAGTAACTGAACCAAGCTACCTCTTCACTTTCTGTTTCTGCAAATTCTAAACATCTTTGTTTCCTTCCTTGCTGTACAGGATACAGAGGAGATCTTGGCTGATGTGTTGAAGGTGGAGGTTTTCCGACAGACTGTTGCCGAGCAGGTTCTAGTGGGCAGTTACTGTGCTTTCAGTAACCAGGGAGGCTTAGTACATCCAAAGACATCCATTGAAGACCAAGATGAACTTTCATCGCTGCTTCAAGTTCCATTGGTGGTATGATGTTCTTTTTATATTCCTCTGCCCATGTGACATTTCTGTTTTTCTTATTCTGAAGATGATGACCAACAGCTTGATGGGTGTTTGACTGAAGCTGTGAAAGTTATCCTGGCCTCACTTTGTAGACTTGATCATACGCAGATTTTGTTCTCATCGCTGGCCCAATGACTGGTTTGATTGATTTCCTGTCATTTGGACCTTTACCAATATGGAGAAAGGAATGGGCCAGGATGAACTGAGTGAGCTTGATGGTGAGATTGTGATTGCATTCCACTACTTTGATATAACCATGAGATGGAGGTGCCGGGGTTAGACTGGGGTGGACAAGGTCAGAAATCACACAACACCAGGTTATAGTCCAACAGGTTTATTTGAAAACACAAGCTTTTGGAGCTTCACTCCTTCTCAAGTGTAAGTGAGAGAGGTGGCATCAGACACAGAATTTATAGGTAAAAGATCAAAGGGTCACACCACAGATGAAGATGTATTAAACAAAACTAAGATGCTGTTAAATCTTTAATCAGTTAGAAGGTTTTAATTGATTAGTCTGTATATGTAAATCCCCAAATTCCTTTCAAGTCACTGTCCTGAGGGAACAAAAGGTTTTATCAGTGTGAAAAAGAGGTGACATTTCAGGTCAGATAATGCATTATGGTTGTCAGGCCTTGTTTAGAATCTTTTTCTGTTTTGATTTGGAGTCAGACTGGTTTTATTTCTAAAGTAGGAGTTTATGAAATGCCACATGACTGAGGGTCTATAAATTATGTGCTTTTTGAACATAATACAATGTATCTGCAAATATAAATTCACCCCAAAGATTAATGTCTGTGCGAGAGTGTGTGTGTGCGCGTGCGGTGGAGAGAGAGGGAGGGTCAGTGTGTGCGGGGGAGAGGGAGGGTCCTCCTCCTCCAAAGTGAAGACGGATGTGAATACTCATTTAACACCCTACCAATATCCTCCAGCTCCACCCACGGATTACTGCCTTGGTCTTAATAGGAGATACGCTTCCCTGGTTGTCCTCTTCTCCTTGACATACTTATATGATATCTCTGATTCTCCCCAATCTTACCCATCAATGTTTTCTTAGAATGCACTCCTAACAGTGTAAATGCAACATTTTTAATCCTAACTTCTGCCCACAAAGCCTCACTTGACAACCTTCCCAAGATATCTTCCCTCCTTACTGCAGTAACTGATTCCTCAATTAATACTGTGACACCACCACCTCTTTTACACCCTCGCCAATGATCCTATACCCTGGAATGTTAAGTTTCCAGTCCTCACCCTCCCTCAAACACGTCTCTGTGATGGCAACAACACCTCGATTCCAAGTGTTAATCCACACCTTTAACTCCTCAGTTTTATCTCTAATACTCCTCACATTAGAGTCCATCCAGCCTCACCTTACTCTCTGGAAACCCAATATGGCTGAACACCCTCTGCCTTGGTTCCTTTACTCACGTCTGCTGTGTCCCTATTTTCCTAGCACTGTGTCCCCTCCACTTACTGAGCTACTTTAACCGCCTCCAAATAGCAACAGCAACAACACCCCACTCCCACCCCCCACCCCCGCCACCTATGAGGATGTTGGTCCCATTCTGATTCAGGTGCAGACCATCCTGTTTCTACAGGGAGACTGACCTTCCCCAGAAATGGTCCCAATCATCCAGGAATCTAAAACCCTCCCTCCTGTACCAGCTCTTGAGCCACGTGTTTATCTGCTGAATTATTTCTGTATTTGCTGGCCCATGACACTGGAGGTAATCCAGAGATTACAACCTTTCAGATCCTGCTCTTTAGTCCACTGCCTAGCTCTCTCAATTCTTGATGTAACAGCTCATTGCTCATTCTGCCTATATTGTTGGTACCAATGTGTATCACAGCCTCTGTCTTAGCACCCTCCTCTTTCAGGAGGTCCTGACGCTGCTCAGTGACATCTGTCCCTGGCACCAGGGAGGCACCGCATTATTGAGGTGTGATGTCTGTAGCTGCAGAAACATCAATCTGTTCTCCTAACTCCTGAATCGCCCTCACTGTCACTCCTGCTTTCTTCTTCCTCCCCTCCTGTGCAGTCCAGCTGCTTGTGGTACCAGAAGCTTGGCTCTGTCTGCACTCCCTTGAGGAATCAGTGCCGTCATCAGCTTCCAGAATGGGACCCCAGGGGATTCCTGCCCTCCCTCCCTCCCTGCCTGCTGGTCACCTATTCCCTTCTTCCCTCCAGCCCTTTAAGCTGCGGTATACCCACCTGTTACTATGTTATCCACGTAACTCCCAGCCTCGTGTATGTGCCACTGTATCTTCAGCTGCCCCTCGAGCTCCAAAACGCACAGCTCATGTTTGTGCAGTTGGGAGCACTTCCGGCACATGTTGTCATCCTGGGTGCTGGTGGGGTCCATGACTTCCCACACGTTACAGATAGGTTACACACTGCACTGTTAGCCAGTGTCCCTGTGTTGACCTGATCTGTAACCTAATCCCCTGTCCCACTGAACCCACTGCCAAATCAGCATTTAAAGCTGCAATCCTGAAGAATTTCTCTTGTTTTGTCAGCTGCTGGTGAAGCTAGTGACCTTGTTAGAATCTCTGGCTCTGTGCTAACATTAATTAATTGTATCCGTTCAACTTGTTGCCATGGTAACTGAGTAGAGCAGCCTTTCTGTTTAGAGCAGTGATGGAATAATCTGCTCATTGCACTGTGTTTCGGGGATGTGAATGACGGTCCAGGGTTTATACTGAAGGAGCTGTCAGCTTTCTTCAACATGGACCCTGAGATCAGGCTGCAACCATTCATTAAGTCTCTCAATCCCCAGGTCTGGGGACAAGGAGAAATCTCAATGTGGGGACTGTGCATGTGTGTGTCCACCGTCTCCCCCACTTTGCTTTAGTTGATTGTGTTACCCCCTAGGATAATGTGTTTATGTGACCAACCACTTCACAGGAGATTTATAAGACAACAGATAGCGGCAAGCCACAAGGAGGTATTGGGTCAGGCGAGCAAAATCGTGGTCAAAGAGATCAATTTTAGGTTTGAATTGAAGAAGAAATGAGAGTTAGAGACATGAAGAGATGCAGAAAGGGAAATCTAGGGCCTGGAACCTTTGAAGTGGGGGCTCTACATGAGTGTAGTATTTGAGAAGCATAAATGTCTCACATGGCTGGAGAATATTACAAAGAAGGGGAGCGTGTAATCATGGAGAGATTTGAAAGACAGGATGATAATTTATTGAGGCTTTTCTCTGAGCATTGTATGTCGGCCAGCACAGACAGGTACATGGGATATACTGCAGGTTAAAGCACAGGCATCAGAGCATTTGGCTGAATTGACAGCTACGGTGGGTTGGAGAATTGGGCAAGAGATTATTGGAATAGATGCTTCAGAGGTAACAAAGCACATGTGAGGGTTTCAGCGGTAAGTGAACTGAGACAGGGATATCAGTGGGTGATGGTATAGATGGGGGTGGAAATTCTGTGTCAATAGTGCCATGAATATGAGGTCAGAGCTCATCTCCTGATTAAATGTGACACCAGTTGCGAGACTGACTTAATGTCTCTGTCAGAGAAAGGGATGGAGTCATTCGGTAGGGGATGGAGTTCGGAGCAGGGACTGAAGACAATTGCTTCTCTGTATTGAATTGGAAGGGAGTGCTGTTAATCCAATGCTGGGATGCCAAAGAATCAGTCTGAGAACAGAGATGGTGGGCAAGCAGAGAGAGGTGGTGATGAGGCATAGCTGGGGGTGTATGTATAAAAACAAACTTTTTTTTTGGATGATTTCCAAGGGCAGAATATAGATGCAAATAGGAGGGATCAATAATAGACCCATCTGGCCACAAGACAGCAGAAGTAACAGTGTGGCAACAGGAGAGTAGGCATTGCTGTGGTTTTGGTAATCAAGACATGGCGGAAGAGGATGTTGTGGTTACATTGTCAGAAACCACATACAGGTCAAGAAGGGCAGAGAGTGAAAGTTTAGCTTTGTCACAGTAACTCACACAGGATATCATTTGTGACTTTGATAGGAGCCATTTTGGAGTAGGGTGGAAGGTAATGTTGAAGGTTGTAGGAGGGGTTTGAGGTGACTATCTCATCGTTGAGAAAAGTTTAGGGTTATAAGACCATAAGAAATAGGAACAGGAGGGGGCCATTCAGCTCCTCGATCCTGCTGCACCATTCAATAGGATCGTGGCTGATCTGACATTCCTCATGTCCACTTCCCTGCCCCTTTCCCCATAACCCTTGATTCCCCGACTGATCAAGAATCTATCTATCTTAGCCTTAAATATACAGAAGTATCTGCCCCCACATCTCAGTGTGTTAATCGGAGGCTTCAGTGATGGTAATGCCATTGAGTGTTAAAGGGTGATGAATAGATTCTCTTTTTAGAGATGGTCATTGCTTGGCACTTCTGACATGAACATTACTTCCCATTTACCTGACCAAACCATATTGTTTAGATCTTGTTACATTCAGTGTTTCAGGACTGCTTAATGCTGCTAAAAGGCAGGTGATGCTTATCATCATTGAACTTGCTGCAACTTTTACCTGCTTCACTGTCAGGCCAACCAAAATAGCCTGATAGGCTAAGTAATGTAACCGTGCCAAGTCAGTGTAGCTCTCAGGTATGCTACATGAAGCTGGTGATGACTGTGGAGGCAGGGCCTGACCTTACTCTCTATTCCCTTCGTCTTTGCCCCAGGCTGGAACAGTGAATCGTGGTAGTGAGGTTATCGCCAGCGGGATGGTGGTGAATGATTGGTGTGCTTTCTGTGGACTTGACACTACCAGCACTGAGCTGTCAGTTATTGAAAGTGTTTTTCGACTAAATGAAGCCCAGCCCAGTGCAATTGCAACAAGTATGAGAGATTCACTGATTGAAAGGTGAGTACTGCCCTTGGAAAAACACAATGATGCAAAATGAAACATTTGAATTAGGTTATGAAAGAGAGACAGCATGTTTTAACCAGGACATCACTACTTAGCAATGTTCTCTATTTGTTTTTTGTGGATGTTTGAGTATTATAGTGTCCATGTTGTTGTTAATGATGAGCGTACCATCTGTGTCCAATCTGAGACACCAGACTTGTTCACATTGTTGGATTTTCCAGCAGGACAGTCCCAGTGTGACACAGCAGCCTGTGCACACTGCAGTCTTAGTGATATGATGTAGTGTGCCAGGATTTAATGTTCATCCTGAGTTGGCCTGAGGGTTATGATGCATCCCACATAGAGCTTGAGTCACATGGAGGCCAAAAAGTAATGTTCCCTTGGAAGATATAAGTGAACGACTAGCACTTGGAGAGCAGAGGAGGTTTCATTCCCAAGTACTATGCTTGTTGAATTTGTCAACCTGGATTTGAACATATTTCCAGTCCAGGGCCATAGTACAGAGAAGCAGCAACTCTGACTCCTGCCATTAGGGAGCGTAGCTGTATGCTATACTAACCTTACTGATGTCTTTCTGCCCAAGTCAGGTCAAGCTTTGTAGAGGTCTGCATCATAACTTGGTCCAGCTTATCAGAAAATCTATATTTCCAACTCCAGCATTTGTTTGCGGCTGGTTTTAGTTATTAAACATTAACGCCAATATGGGCAAACCTTGTCTAACTAACTTGGTTGAGCTTTTGGTGAGCTTACAGCGGGTTGATGATGGTAATGCATTTGATGTGGTGAATATGGACTTATGATAAAATGTAACGTAACAGGATTGTACATAAAGTTAGAGGCCAAAGAGTAAAAGGACAGTATCAATCCAATGCTTTTGCAAGGTCATTGACATGAAACGTTAACTCTGTTCCTCTCCACAGACGCTGCCTGACCTGCTGAGTGTTTCCACCTTTTGTTCTTGTTAGATTTCCAGCATTCACAGTATTTTGCTTTTGTATTCTTTACAGTAAATCCTCTCTGCAGCCTCTTCAAGACCTTGACATCTTTCCAAAAGTGTAGGGTCCAGAATTGAACACTGGCCTAACCAGGGTTTGTAAAGCAGTAAATTTAAAAAAAAGAACGGTGGATGCTAGAAATCTGAAACAAAAACAAAAATTGAATGAAAATCTCAGCCAGTCTGACAGCATCTGCAGACAGAAATCAGAGTTAACGTTTCGGGTCCAGTGACCCTTCCTTAGAATTAGTTATGAAGGAGGGTTACTCGATCCGAAATGTAAATTCTGTTTTCTGTCTACAGATGCTGCCAGACTTACTGAGATTTTCCAGCAATTTCTAGGTTTTTTTCAGGATTTGTAAAGGTTTAAAATTATGTTGCCTTTCTTACTCTATACCTCGCTTTAAAAATAGATGCATCCTGTAATCATTTTTAACAACCTTCTCAATTGTCCTCAAACATTTGAGTACATTCACCTCCTGGTCCCTGTTCCCGCTCCATCTTTACAATTGTAACCTTTGGTTTATATTGTCTCTGTATTGCAAACAAAACAAATCCCTTTGCATTTCTCTCTGTTAATTCCACCTGCTGTGTCTGTCCCTTACACCAGCCTGTTTGTGTCCCCTGGAGTCTGATACTCTCCTCCTCACTGTTTACTGCATTTCAGACTTGTATATTAACTACAAACTGTGAAATGATGCCTCATACTTCCAAGTCCAGGCAAATCTATGAAAACAAGCAGCAATGCTAACACCAGTTTCTGATACTTGAGAAATAACCATTCACTGCAAATCTCTGCTTTCTGTCCCTTTGCCAGCTCCATATTCAAGTTTCCACACTCTTTACTCCGATAGGCTTCAGTTTTGCTCATCAGCCTAATTACAATCTCCAAACAGTTAGAGGCCCATTCCACTTGTCTTGTCTGTGTCATCTCTCTGCTTGTTTTGCTAAGAAGTCTGATGTGAGATACCTCTATCAAATACATTTTGAATATTCATCATTGGAATGTCTGTTACTTCATCAAAGAACTCGATCAGGTTGTGTGTTCAGTTTCATTTCCTGATTGGGCAAATAATAAAATTAAATTGAATACATCTGGTTTTGGGATTTTTTAAAAATTATTCATTCACAGGATGAGGGTGTCGCTGGCTAGGCAGCATTTATTGCCCATCCCTAATTGCCCAGAGGACAGTTAAGAATCAACCACATTGCTGTGGGTCTGGAGTCACTTGTAGACCGGGTAAGGATGGCAGATTCCTTCCCTAAAAGACATTAATGAACCAGATGGGTTTTTCCCGACAATCGGCAATGGATTCACGGTCATCATTAGACCCTTAATTCCAGATATTTATTCAATTCACATTCCACCATCTGCCATGGCTGAATTCAATCCCAGGTCCCTGGAGCATTATCTGGGTGTCTGGATTAAACAGTCCAGTGATAATACCACTAGGCCATTGCCTCTCCTGGGGGAAAGGAGGACTTTGTAAAGAACCACCAGGTTCACCGATACCCGTCCTAATGCAAGGTCATTGATCTAAAACATTCCTCCTGTTTCATGCTGCAGAGATACTGCTAGACCTGCGAAGAACCTTCAGCATCTGCAGTAATTTTTTATTGCCTTATTCAATGAAGCATTAACCCTGTTAATGTGAACCTACACTCCCCTGTCTCCTAGATCAATTTCTTCATTGAGAAGCAGAGCCCTGAATTGACGTTAATTCCAAATGTAGTCTGTCTAGAGCGCTACAACTGAAGCCTAACTTCCTGACTTCTGAAATCCAATCTTAAGAAAATACTAATATTCCATGAAACTTTTTGATTGATTTTTGTGCCTGTGATCTAGCTTTTTAATGATGCGTGAACACAGGCATCCAAAACTCTGCTCCTCCACAGCTTGTGTCTCACTATTCACGGGATAGCTCTCTAGATACCTTTATTGTGTACATATCTACACTGACATTCATGGATGCTAGAAGGCAGTGCGAACCTTCCACTCTGAACAATATCTGCAAAGTGTGAAATGAAAACAAAGTGCTGAAGAAGCTGAGCAGCTCTAGCAGCATCTGTGAAGAGAGAAACAGAGTTAATTTTTTGATTTCAGTCTGACTGTTCTTAAGAACTGCAAAACATGCACACCTCTGTGCTCAGGCATAGTACAGTCTAGCCATGTCTATTTAACCAGTGCCTTCATAACCCCATTTAGAAGCTACTGGAAATCAGTAATGTTCAGGAGAGACACAACTGTTTAAACATCTCTTTACTAGCATAAAAATTATAATGGCCAGATTCTTTAGAAAATAAAAGATTGTGTTGACTGATATTGAGCTAACGCAGGTCTAGGGGCTACTGGGTGACTGTCATCTATCCAGTGTCTCGGTGCTTTGTGAAATTGTGCTGCATGCACTAAGTACAGGGACAGGTAACAAAATCATTAACTTGTTTAGTGTTGGCTGACTCAGCACCATACTTTGGACAGCGTCTAAGGCTGTCCTCAGATTTGGCAGTTAGGCATTTTTTTAACTCCAGGTGAAGTATCTTCAATCAGGGAAACATTGAGGGAACAACTGTTGGCCCTATCACCATCTGATCTTTCTCTGAGAATGGCCATTGGTTGTGGTGATAACAAGCAGCAGATTCCATGGAATGTTAGACTGGAGACTGCAGAGGGAATAACATTCATACCTGACATCGTAGGGAGTAAACGTCACCATTTTCAGTGACCCTGGTTTTCTCACTCTACATCAAAAGAGGCCAAGTGTAATTTGTCTCCCTAATTGCTTGCTGTTCCTACAAGCAAACCTTTGTGTTCCTTGTATGAATATGCCCAAATCCCTCTGAACATCAACATTTTCAGGTTTCACACCTTTTTAAAAAAGTTATACTTTTTAAAGTTTTACTTGTTTGCCCACATTATGCTCCACCTGTCTCCTTGCTGCCACTTGCACTGTCTCTATCTGACTCTAGCTTCTCTGTCCTGCTCATAGTTCACCTTTCCACCTAGTTTTTGTTCTCTACCTAAACATTACGATCAACTTTCAGAATGTATCTGTCTCCACATTTCAGCAATAGCAATTAGGTTGAAACCATTTGTCCCTCTTCATGTCACTTATTTATTTACAATTGCATTTCAGAAACTTTATTTTGTTTTATAGATATTTGCTTGATTCTTACTCTGATGCATTGTTACCAATAAATTAGGTCTCTTCCTGTCTCTTTCTGCTTGTCTTTTCAATAATCAGCACACTGTTCTTATGTATCTATGTTCGTTTTTAGATTTCTGAATCTCCTTTTACCAGAACCGTTCCCTTGTGTCCTCATTTCTACCTCTTGGCAGGGCCCCTGATTATTGCCTGGTCCCACTGCCTAGTGCTGGGGAAAAGCCAGCCTTCTGCAGCAACTCCTGTCATTAATGTAAGGGATAGAGTTCTGATCCTAACTGTTCCAAAGCAATACTGCAGCAATACCTAATGCCTGACTAAACTGGCATCATTCCCAGTGGGAGCAGAGCAGACTATATATCAGCAATGGCTTCAGCTCTGCTTTGCCATGCACCTCATTAGCAGCAAAGTGGTGAACATGCAGTCTGTGCAGAATAAGTCTCTATATGACTGCTATTGCCTTGCAGCCCTAGTAGGTACAAAACACAGAAAAATTAGAACAGGTTGAATAGTCCACTTGGAAAGGGAGATAAAAGGTGGAATCCTAGTGTGCGCTCCTCTCCAGTAATCCTACTGTCATCCCACAATCCATAGCCATTCTGTTTCAAGGTAAAACAGTCTAACACAACTTGCTGCCTTACGTATATTTCATTTATTAGAGAATCCATCTACTTCTCTAATTGCTGCATCAGCAATAACAAATCTATAATAATAAAAAGGGAGGCTTTCATGTCTGTAGCACTATTCACAAACTTGGCACATTACAAGGTATTTTACAGATAATGAAGAATTTTAAAGTGTAGTCAATGTTGTAATGTAGGAAATGCTACAGCCAATTTACATACAGCAAGCTCCAATAAACAGCAATAAAATAATTAGTACAGTAAATGTGTATTTAGTGATGATAGTTAGGAGACTAGAAAATAATAAGATTTATTCTTATGAAGGAAAGACAGTACTAAATGTATTCTGCAGCCATTAGGTGGGTGTTGAGAATGAGAATGTTGAGAAAAAATATTTTGTCATTCAAGCAGAAAATGGGATTGAAGGGAAAGGCCACAGCTGATTGAGAAATGTGCAGCAATCTATAACAGTAAATTTGATCAGCAGCATTGAATTAATGCACTGGCAAGTGTTTTTTTTTTCCATTTCTGCAAATCCTTTGTTAGCCTATATTCATGCTCCATAAACAACCTGCTTTCCCATTGGCACAGGGCCCTTACTTGGGGTCAGGATATCAGAACCAAGAAGCAAATGTGTCACTAATTAAAGTGGCATTTCATTATTAAGAGATGCGCAGGCCAGTTGAGTTTTAACCTACTTCCACTGTCCTACTATTTATGTAAATGTTTGTTTCACAATAGTTCATGAAAATCTGACCCAGTAGTGTAAAAACGTTTGGGGACCAGTTCCCAACTTACTAATTGCTCTCACTGCCTTTTACTGGAGTACTTAATTACTGCAGACATTCCAGGACAGAGCTGTACTGTCAGAGCGAGTGCGCAGAGTGATCACTGGGTGGGGATGCCCAGCGCTGAGGGAGCCCCGCACTATCCGTGGGCTGTCTCTCTAAAGAGTTGAACTGAGGCTCTTCCAACTGGATGGAAATTCCATGCTTTGGAAGAGGAGTGTCCAGGCTAATATTTATTCTTGAACCAACACCACAAACAGATTCTTCATAATTGTTGGAGAAGCAATGTGTCTGCATTAACAGACAACCATAACTCCATGTCCACCCCCAATCGTTGCTTCTGGCTTTTGGTCAGTTTTCTGCCTTTCTTGTAGTCATCCTGATGACATTGACATTTCTGTCTCTGCTCTAATTTAGGTGTTGTACAGTACTGTTGAGGGTTTTTGACAATTTGCTGCAGTTGACCTTGCTGCTATTGTGCATTGCTGAAAGAAGTGGTCAGTGAGATCAGGGAAGAGCACCAATCATCAGTGTCTAGGCTGATGCTAAGCTGTGGGTCTGCGCCATTGGCGGATGCTGTTACTAAGCTAGCAAGGTCAGGTCCATTTGTTGGTCATTATTTGGGACATGTGACTGGGGCCTTGTCCACCAGCTGAAGACCCACTGAGAACTTCATGTTGGGAAGGGCTGCCACAGTCTTTTCCAATCAGGCACTTAATTGGCCAGAGACAGGTCTTTCTGAGGTCGTACCCCATGAGAACTGCCAGTCACAGCTGGCACTTTCAGTGGGGAGCAGGTACAGGCACGTTCACAGCCAGCCAAGGTCCCTTTTTGCAAGAGAGCCAGTCCCCAGAGGAGTGTTGGCATGTGTCAGTAGTAAATTGAAGGGAGGGGTGTGGAGGGAGATGAGGGTTGATAGTTTCGGATTAGTGTCAACCCTCACCCACACATCACCGTTCCAGGACCTGATGCTCTTACTGATCGCTTAGAGGCTGCTTTATTTTTCAGAGTAGTATCACTGGTCCAGAGCTACCTTATACAGACCTCTGAAAATGAGCTAACCTGCAGTGGTTGCCTGGGTAACCCTAATTCTCCTTGTCTTCCACAGCTTAACATAAAGGAACAGGCGAGGATCGAGCCTCTGAAGGGGAATGTGCTGCTCTTCTATTTCGACAGACCAGACACGAGAGAGATCATCGTTTGCTCTGAACTGATTAGCCATTCTTTACTGTAATGAACCCACATAACTCCAATCAATTTGTAATCACCCCAGAGCCACAACAGCCCATAACCTGCCTTCTCATGGATTATTTAACCTTAAAGAACATCTGAATGTGTAAGAAATGAGTTGGTGAGATTGTCTCAGTGTTGATTAAACAAATCACTCTGCTTATGAATAAATAAATCCTTGTTTTTTTAAGGACTTGCGTCATTCTGCAGAAGTTCAGTGATAGAACCTTGGATTCCCTACAGTGTGGAAACAGGCCCTTTGGCCCAACAAGTCCACACCAAACCTCAGAGCATCCCACCCAGATCCATCCCCCTATAACCCACCTAATCTACACCTCCCTGAACACTACGGGCAATTTAGCATGGCCAATCCACCCTAACCTGCACATCTTTGGACTGTGGGAGGAAACCGGAGCACCCAGAGAAAACCCACGCAGACACGGGGAGAATGTGCAAACTCCACACAGTCACCTGAGGCTGGAATTGAACCCGGGTCCCTGGCACTGTGAGGCAGCAGTGCTAGCCACTGTGCTGCCCCAGTGTTGATGTGCTGTGACGACTCTATCAAGTCACACAGAACATTTCTGTCTTGAAGCACTCTCCTGGAGACTCTGAGAATAGGCAGCAGCTCTGGAGTGTCTGGATGCCATGGGGGAGGGAGCATCAATAATACTCTCACCAAAGCATGTGAAATTTAATGTACACCACTGTCTCCTTGCGGAGATTAGTGTGAGCCTTCTCCAAATTGCCAGCTAATGTGTGCTGCATGTTGTTTATTGTACTAAGCAGTTGACCTGCACAGCTTGAAAAGGAGGAGAATGTTTGATCCAATGATGATATCCCAGAAAGCTGACCCCTGGACTAGACAGTAGAGCCTCCCTACCGCATGTTTCTGGGGAGACAATGGGAAGATCTATGCCTAGAAGGAGGCATATGGCCCTCTGAGGCAATCCAGTCAGTCCCAATCCTGCCTACACCCCACCACCCCAAAAAAATCCCTGTAGCCCTCCAAGTACACGTCAATTTCCTTTTGAAATCAGTGATCATCTCTACCTCCAGCATGCTAATGAGCAGCAAGTTCCAGGTCATTACCGGGCACTGCATAAGAAAGTTCTTTCTCATGGTCCCTGCATCTCTTACCCAAAATCTTAAATTTATGTCCTCTAGTCTGTGTACAATCAACTAACAGGAGCAGCTTTTCTTTACCTACTTTATCTAAATCTGTCATTGTCTGTTACACCTTAATCAAATCTCCCCTTAATCTCCTTTGCTGTAAGGAGGACAACCCCAAATTCAATTTTGTAACTAAAATACTTCACCAAGGGTTTCGAGTAGATTTGTAGCTCAGGTTATGGATGTTGTGGGTGGTTGGCACACCGAGCTGGTTCATTGTTCCACAGACATTTCATTACCCTGCTGGGTAACATCTTCAGTGCAGCCCCTGATGAAGCTGTTCGGAGGAAGGGTCACCTGACCAGAAACGTTAACTCTGTTTTTTCCTTCACAGATGCTGCTAGACCTGCTGAGCTTTTCCAGCAACTTTGTTTTTGTTCATAAAATACTTCACCTCGGCAACATTCTGAAGAATCTCCTCTGCACCGTCTCAACTAATCTCACATCCATCCTGTACTGTGATCAGAATTGAATTTAGTACATTAAATGTGATCTTATCAGAGGTACATCATGTTGCTGGCTAGACCTGATTCCTTGCTCCTCCCAGTTGCCTTGAGGTAGTACTGAGCAGCTGCTGGAATCTTTGCTGTCACTTGTGTAGAGACACCCACCATGTTATTGCAGAGGGAGCTCCAGTAAACCGTTTCACTGAAGGGAACAGCGATGTAATTCCAAGTCAGAGTGGTCTATAACTTGACAAGGAACATGCTATGGTGTTACAAATGTAGCTGATGCCAGTACTAGACAACTCAGATCCCACAATGAAACCTGGTTGCTATTTCAAAAAACAAGGTCTTTGCTGCTGTGGTGTCAGTCATTGACAGCCTTGTGTGAATATGTACAGTGCACATTTAACAATAAAACATAACCGACGGTAACAGAAGTGACCAGCCATGGCTAGTAAACACAGTGGCTACAAGAGCAGGCCAGAAGCTGGGAATACTGCAGCGAGTAACTGACCTCCTGACTCCCCAAAGCCTGTCTACCATCTACAAGGCACAAGTCAGGAGTGTGATGGAATACTCCCCACTTGCCTGGATGGGTGCAGCTCCAACAACACTCAAGAAGCTCAACACCATCCAGAACAAAGCAGCCACTTGATTGGCACCACATCCACAAACATCCCACTCCCTCCACCACTGACGCTCAGTAGCAGCAGTGTGTACCAACCTCTCCTCATAGCTAATGCCCTCCATACCAGGTAACATCCTGGTAAATCTTTTCTGTACCCTCTCCAATGCTACCACATTCTTCTGGTCAACTGAGCACCATATTCGAAATGCGGCCTAACTAAGATTCTATAAAGCTGCAACATTACCTGCCAATTTTTAAACTCAACGCCCCGGCCGATGAAGGCAAGCATGCCGTATGCCTTGTTGACTACCTTCTCCACCTGCGTTGCCACTTTCAGTGACCTGTGTACCTGTACACCCAGATCCCTCTGCCTATCAGTACTCTTTCCATCTGGATTAGACCTTCCGAAATGCATTACCTCACATTTTTCCAGATTAAACTCCATCTGCCATCTCACTGCCCAAGTCACCAACCGATCTATATCCAGCTGTATCCTTTGACGGTCCTCATCGCTGTCCGCAATTCCACCAACCTTTGTGTCATCTGCAAACTTACTAATCAAACCAGTTACATTTTCCTCCAAATCATTTATATATATAACAAACAGCAAAGGTCCCAACACTGATCCCTTGGGAATGCCACCAGTCATAGCCCTCCATTCAGAAACGCACCCTTCCACTGCTACCCTCTGTCTTCTATGACCAAGCCAGTTTTTTATCCATCTTGCAAGCTCATCCCTGACCCTGTGCGACTTTACCTTCTGTATCAGCCTGCCATGAGGGACCTTGTCAAAGGCCTTACTGAAGTCCATGTGGACAACATCCATTGCCTTACCTTCATCGATCAATATGTACAAGTATTTACATTCACAGGCACATACGTGGGTTAATATTAAGCTCGTAAGTTACAACAGAGCCACATGCTTTCAATATCATCCTGTTCTTGAAGTGGTCCCAAGTTAAGACAGGTCACATGTGACCATACAACTATCACATCATGGGCATTTTTTTTAAAGGTATCCTGACCGTGATTTTATTTTGTATTCATTCACGGGATGAGGGCATTGCTGGCTAAGCCAGTATTTATTGCCCAGCCCTAACTGAGGTTGAAAGTTACCCACATTGCTGTGGATCTGGAGTCACATGTAGGCCAGACCATGTAAGGATGGCAGTTTCCTTCCCTTAGCGACATTAGTGAACCTGATGGGTTTTTTCGCAAAACGAAATGGATTTGTGGTTATCATTAGACTCTTAATTCCAAATTTTAATTAAATTCAAATTCTACCATCTGCTATGGTGAGATTCAAACCCAGGTCCCCAGCACATCATCTGGGTCTCTGGCTTAATAGCCCAGCAATAATACCACTAGGCCATCACCTCCCCTTATATGTATATATATGGAATATGATACATTCCACACCAGTGACTGTACTGAACATAATACAAACATCCCCATGTCTAACTTCTAATTGAAGGAAGGCTGCCTGCCAGAGCCTTAGCAGAAAATCACACTCCGGTCTGAGATACCTTTGCCCCAAGTCAAACCTGGCCCCCCCCAGGTTCCAAAACATGTATTCGCCTGAAAACTAAACCAACCTGACTGCGCTACACTGTTGTCAACTCTGAGTGCAATTCTAGTGAACTGCACCCGGCTGAATGTGAGCTTCAACTAAAAACAAATCACTGCACAGACTTTGTGGACTCATAAAGATCATGTAAATTTATGTCCATATTGAATGCAAGAGTAGGGAGGGGTATGCTTCAGTTATACAAGGCACTGGTGAGACTATCTGGGGTACTATTTGCAGTGTTCTTATTTAGGGAAGGACGTAAAGATATTGGAAGCAGTTTAGAGAAAAGATTTGTTGCGGCTCATTTTTATAAGGGCTGCATTTATGGACAACACAACTGCTCAGTGGAGGAATAATGCACTGATGCAGAAGCACAGTTTCTAAGTGCAGATCCTCTCTGAAAACAGGTGGCAGTATCCAAAATATTGAGACCTGAACACTCTACAGCAAATCGCCAACTGTTGTGCATAATGTATCAAGAAGCAGTTTGCAATCTTGCCAGGAAAAGCTATGATCTCACTGACAATAGAAGAATTGGCAAATTATATTCCTGCACATTAGGCAGGAAAGAATGGGGAAGGAAACATGGATAGTAGGAACTGCAGATGCTGGAGAATCCGAGACAACAAGGTGCAGAGCTGGATGAACACAGCAGGCCAAGCAGCATCATAGGAGCAGAAAGGCTGACGTTTCGAGCCTAGACCCTTCATCAGAAACGTCCTTCCCTAAATAAGAACACTGCAAATAGTACCCCAGATAGTCTCACCAGTGCCTTGTATAACCGAAGCATACCCCTCCCTACTCTTGCATTCAATATGGACATAAATTTACATGATCTTTATGAGTCCACAAAGTCTGTGCAGTGATTTGTTTTTAGTTGAAGCTCACATTCAGCCGGGTGCAGTTCACTAGAATTGCACTCAGAGTTGACAACAGTGTAGTGCAGTCAGGTTGGTTTACTGAAGAAGGATCTAGGCCCGAAACGTCAGCCTTTCTGCTCCAATGATGCTGCTTGGCCTGCTGTGTTCATCCAGCTCTACACCTTGTTGTCTCGGGGAATGAAACATGATGTTTTTAATGAACGCCTGGAGCCAACAGATCTATTTGTACCTACATACTTTAATTAAGGAAATGTTCGAGTCTCTGAAAGGCCAGCGCAGAGCGATACCTGCAGAATGACAGTTGTGTTGTCAGTGCCTTGAGCCTGCACATTTGGATCTCAGTGTCATTTATAATGATGCATTTGTGGTGGGAACTCTCCACTGGGTTTCACAAAGTGGATATTTGGGGAACACACCGCCACTTAGTTCAAAAAAAGCAGTAAGAAAATTTAACAAACTCCTCTGCTTACTAATAGAGGAGGAGTAAAAGAA